ACCTACCGGTTTTAAATTCAGTATCTGTACAGAGGGATAGGTTTTACTTTCAATTGTGTTCCAGAGTTCAATGGGGCCATGCATGCTGGCTCAGGTTTTAAACCACACCATTTGCTCTATGCAGTGGTTCCCAACGTGTGGTCCATAGACCTTCAGTGGTCAACAAGAACTAAAATATGGTCTGCAGTCTCACCATTACTACATCATTGCAATGAAGGTGACTGGTCTCGTGAAACCCTCTTATAGTGCCAAGGCTTATTAAATATGGTTTTCTGTGTGCGAGCAGATAGGGACTATTGGATGGCATATGTTCTGTATCAGAAACTAGAGCTGATGTGGTCTATCCAATGCAATTTTCTGAATCAGCACCCCAAATAACCAAACCCAATCTAAAGTTGACCAAAAACTGATTTGTAACTCTTTTGGTACTAATGTTGGAGAGTGGACCCTGGTCAAAGTGGTCCCTAATCAAAGTGGTCCCTGGTTTTACAAAAAGGTTGGGAAGCACTGCTCTATACTGTACACTGTAGCTTCTAAACAGATCTAAATTAAGTAATGGTCTATATACAAATATCAGGTTGCAGCAACATAAAGAAGCTCGCTTTGATTGTTACTGATTCAACTTATAATAAGCAAAATTCCCTGTTTGATTTTAATGGTACTTGCAGGGAAGGATCATGTCCTAAGTTTCTAAAGAGGTATCTCTGAAATTATTATTTTTTTGTAGAATTATCCCACTGAAGTCAAATAAAAGTACAGTCCTCCCACCACATTCACTGGGGTGAGAGGCACAGGACCCCATGAAATTGATAAGCTGTGAATAAAGAAATTGCTACTGGTTTTTCTCTAAGGGAACACCTCTGTAGAAATTTGTCAGTCTTCCAGCATGATTCTGCAATTGAATTTTCCTGGAGACTGACCACAGAATTGCATTGGTGGACCTAGATATTCCTAGAGAGGTGTTCTCTAGAAATCTTCAGGTCCTCCAGCATAAATGGCGGAAGTTGAAAATAGAGCAACACTGGAGTACTTAGCAGTGGTTCTCAACCTGCGAGTCCCCAGATGTTTTGGCCTTCAACTCCCAGAAATCCTAACAGCAGGCAAACTGGTTGGGATTTTCAGGAGTTTAGGCCAAAACACCTGGGGATCCAAAGGTTGAGAACCACTGACCTAGAGAGAACATTTCACCACTTGAACTGCCATGCCTCAGTGTTGTGGGACTGTGGGGATTCCTTGCTCAATAATGCTGGTGCTCCATCAAAGTACAGCTCCCAGGATTTGATAGCATTGAGCCATGCCAGTTCCAGCAGTGTCAAAATACATTAATTCTACATGTAGATGTACCCTATAACTACATTCCAGTGTTTATTTGTCAAAGTCTATGTTTGTATCTTCAGTTTTGAAGAATCAAGACAACTTTCGATGTGTTTAAAGGGTCTCTAGTTTAGAACAGCACTAATAGTTTGACCTTTTTGTCATGAAGCTATTCCACTTTTCTAAGCAGATTTCAAAGTGAGGCTAAGGGGGAGAAAAGGTATAAAAAGGAAATATTTGAAAAAATACAGCAGATAAGATAGCTAATTGGGGGGAGGGAGGGGGGCCTTGATGCGTAGGATAAGATTTCAGGCCAGAGGTGGTATGAATGCAGTTCAAGGAGTAGAATTAAGGTCTGTATTTTATTGTGCGCATTCGAAATAAGATAATGCACAAAAAGTATAAACGTCCTAGAAAAGAGACAAAACTTGACTTCCTGAAGATATATCACATTTTAGAAGCATTGAGGAAGGCACAGGCATGTGACATAAGACATATGGACATCTATTTTGCACATAAGAAGCCCTTTTATCCGGGATAGGAAAGCTTTGACCCTTCAGATGTTTTATTTAGACTACAACTTCCACAAATCCTCACTCTTGGCCATGCTTCTTGTAGACTTTGGGAGTTTTGGATGTGAATACCAACATTAGAGTGTGGTCATAATGGCAAAAATTAATAATGAAGAAAAACATCCCATCAGCAGTTTGCTTTTGCCTGAGACTTCTAGGAAGGGAAAGATTCTGTCCTCTTCTCTCCCTCCCACATCCTCATTAATTGGATACAAGCTAATTTTGCACTTTGATTCAATTTCAGAAATTGAAGTTAAGGAGAAAGGAGAAAAGTGGAAAAGAAAAAAATGGGACATTTTAAAAGCAGCTGAAAACAGGACAGCAGAAGATTGATTATCTGGAACTGTCTCTGCCAAATTGGGACAATTTGTGGGTAATGATTTGAAGTTTAAAACATCTTCAAGCCTTCCTGTCTCTGCCTTATTGTTCTTGAAACATTTGCTCAACTCTCTCATTATAAACAGTGAATATAAAGATACTAAGTGTAGCTCCACTGCTGACGTATTAGTGAAATCGCAACTGTGAAGCCACTGTTTGCTAAATGCAAGCAAAGTGGTGCTTTGGAGTTTAAAAAACTGCACTTATTGGAAGCAGTACATGTTTGAAAGGCTATGCCCACATGGGACTGGCTCCTGCTCCTGATGTAAAGAGGATGTAATCATTGAGCTCCATACAGGCAGTTCTCAGGAACACACTCTAATAGCATATAAGGAAAGTGCAGTAATACAGGGGAGGGGACGGCTTTAACTATGGAAGACTTTTTAAGGAAGACTTTTGGAAGGGTGTTTGAAATGAGGAATGCCAGACTGTAACAAGTTGGGTTTAGGAGGCCTGGGGTCCAGGGCTGGCTTTCAAAGGAGTCTGCCTTTGTGCCAAACTCCCACAGGTTTCAATCTACCGGGTTTTGCTCTTCAGTGCCCTCCAATGTCAAAGAATGAGGAAGATGCCTCCTCTCCATCCCTTCATTTCCCAAGAGGGGACTTTCCCTGTCCCAGCACCAGAGCTCTTGTTGTTGGAGGGATTTCCTCAATTAGGGATCAAGTGCGGGAGTGATGGCCAACTGGGTTACAAGGAGAGGGAAAAGTGGGGTGGGATGTCAAGAGAGAGAGAGAGAAGGAGGAGTATGGGAGAAAAAGGAGTGGGAAAGAAGAGGAATGGAGGGGAGCGGAGAAAAGTGATGAGGAAAGAAGGGGAAGAAAGGCGAGAGGAGGCAAGGAGAGGACAGAAGGGAGAGGAAGGAAAGGAAAGGGATGGAGGAAGAAAGAGGAGGAAGAGGAACTAGAGGGAGGTATGAAGGGACCAGAGAGAAGGAGAGGGAGGTGAGTTAGAGAAGGGGAGATAGGATGGGGAGGTGGGGGAAAGGGAAGTAGGAGAAAGGAAATGAGGAAAGGGAAGGGGGAGAGGAAGAAAGGAGGGAGAGGAGAGGAGAGAGAAGAAGGGAGAGGCGAGGTTGGATGGGGAAGGAGAGGGACTAGAGCAGGCATGGGCAAACTTTTTAACTTGGGGGCCATGTGGTGGACCGGAGCAGGGTGGGCACCCCCTTCTCTGCCCTTCCACCCCTTCCTCTTCTCTTTTGGAGACAGAAAGTTAAGGAAAGATGGAAAAAGTTTGGATCCCAAAAAGGTTAGCCTTCATCAGAATGAGATGGTGGTGGATGGGGGAGAAAAAGTGTTTCCAGGAGACCCCACATTGCCTACTTCTGATCTAGAATCCTAGAGGTGGAAGAGACCCCCCAAGAGCCATCCAGTCCAACCCCCTGCCATGCAGGAAGGCACAATCAAAGCACTCCCAATAGACAGCCTCTGTGGAAAAGCCTCCAGAGAAGGAGACTCCACCACACTCTGAGGCAGTCAATGCCACTCTCCAGGAAGTTCTTCCTAATCTTTTCTGTCAAATCTCTCCCTGCTGATTAAAACCATTGCTCCCTTGGGCCCTGGTCTCAAGAGGAGTTGAAAGTCAGTTTTCCTCCCTCTTACTCCTCAATGGGACACCCTTTGAAATCTTGAAACATGGTTCTCATGTTCCCTCCCTACTTTCTCTTCTCCCAGCTCAACATTCCCTAGAAGGAAAGGAGGAAGGAAAAAGAGAAGGAAGGAAGTGTGGAAGGGAATGGAGGGAGGGATAAGAAAAGGATGGAAAGACAAAAGGGAAAGGAGGAGAAAGAGAGGGGGAAGGAGGGAGGAAAGAAAGAAAGAAGTATGGAAGGGAAGGAGGGAGGGAGGGAGAAAGAGGGAGGTAAGGGAGAGAGTGTCAAAGCAATGGTATTCCCCACAGTCACCTACGGATGTAAGAGCTGGACCTTAGGGAAGGCTGAGCGAAGGAAGATAGATGCTTTTGAACTGTGGTGCTGGAGGAAAGTGCTGAGAGTGCCTTGGACTGCAAGAAGATCCAACCAATCCATAGTTCAGGAAATAAAGCCTCATTGGAGGGAAGGATACTAGAGGCAAAGATGAAGTACTTTGGCCACATCATGAGAAGAAAGGAAAGCTTAGAGAAGACAATGATGCTGGGGAAAATGGAAGGCTAAGGAAGAGGGGCTGACTAAGGGCAAGATGGATGGATGGCATCCTTGAAGTAACTAGATTGACTCTGAAGGAGCTGGGGGTGGTGATGGTTGACAGGGAGCTCTGGCGTGGGCTGGTCCATGAGGTCACGAAGAGTCAGAAACAACTGAATGAATGAACAACAGCAACAAGGGAGAGAGAGAGGAAAAAGAGAAGGAAGGAAGTGTGGAAAGGAATGGAGGGAAGAGAGAAGGAAAGAAGGAGAGAGGGAGGGAGAAAAAGGGAGGGAGGAAAAACTGAAGGAAGGATGGGGTAGTGAGTGAGAGGAGGGCCTGAGAGAAGAGCCCAAGGGGCCACATCCGGCCTCAGGCCTGGGTTTGCCCATACCTGGGCTAGAGGGAGATAAGGGGAGGGAGGGCGTAGTAGAAGAGGTGAGTAAAGGAGGGGGAGGAAAAGGAGAAGAGTGAAGGGAAGGGAGGGGGGAAGAAAAGGGGAGGGAGTGGATAAGAGAAGGAAGGGAGGGGAGAGGGCAGAAATGGGAGGAGAGGCTGGATAAGGCTTCCCCACTCTCTCCACCCCACCCCACCCCCGGTCTCCAGCCTGAACTTACCGACTCTCTGCTCCTCGGAGTCGGCTCCGTAGTCGGGGAGCTGCCTCCGGCCGAGGAGGTAGTCCTGCTTGTAGTGGGCGCCGTTCTCGTTCTCGTCCTCCTCGAGGCGGTAGCGCTTCAGCTCCTGGAGGATCTCCATGATGAGGTTGAGGAGGTTCTGCCGCTCCTTGAGCCCCGCCGCGCTGCTCGCGTCCGAGGGCCGCTCCTTGCACAGCCCCGCCGACAGCACCGCCGCCACCGCCAGCAGCGCCGGGGAGCAGCACAAGAGCCGGCCGCCCATCCTCGGAGGCGGGCCACGAGCCTCGAAATTAAGCGGGGGGGGGGGGAGGAGGACCACAGGGAGAAGAAGTCAGGAAGGCTGGGCGGGGGGGAGGGGAGCCCAGGTCAGGGGCCCCTCTCGCCTGGAAGTCAGGCACACGCGTGGAGAGTTCCCCAAAGGCACTCACTCCAATCACGTCAACCCTACACATCGGGGTCAAAACAACCTTTCCAGTCCCATAACCCAAGGCAGTCTATTAACAAGAGCGACAGGGCAGAGGCAGAGCATGGGAGAGCCCAAAGCCAACTTGCCCGCTTCTTCGGCATGTCCCGGAGCGCACGCATGCGCACTACGCTCCCATCCATCCATCCCACTTTGGGAACCACGCTTGGGGGCTCTCCTGTGCCAAAGTCCACGTGAGTCAGGCCCCTTCCACACACAGCTAAATAAAATCCCACATTATCTGCTTTGAACTGGGATATATGGCAGTGTGGACTCAGGGCCCTTCCACACAGCCCTATATCCCAGAATATCAAGGCAGAAAATCCCACAGTGTGCTTTGAACTGGGTTATCCGAGTCCACACTGCCGCATATCCCAGTACAAAGCAGATATTGTGAAATTTTCTGCCTTCATATTCTGGGATATAGTCCTGTGTGGAAAGTTTTAAAGCACGTGATTTGTAGAACCTGGATTGAGTGAAGTTCTATTATAGCCGAGGAGCAATAATCTGGGATCAGATCCTGGGATATAGGGCCTGTCTGGAAGGCCACTACTTGCCATACAGGAAAGCACAATCAAAGCACCTTAGACAGATAGCCATCCAGCCTCTGCTCCCAACACACTCTGGGGCCCCTTCCACACAGCTGAATAAAACCCCACGTTATCTGCTTTGAACTGGATTATATGGCTGTGTGGACTCGGATAATCCAGCTCAAAGCAGATATTGTGGATGATCTGCCTTTATATTCTGGTTATATGGCTGTGTAGAAGGGCCCTGGGGCAGCATATTCAACTGCGCAATAGCTCTTAGCCATCAGGATGTTCTTCCAGGAGGGCTTATCTACATCTTTATTGTGCTATCAATACATATTAAAATCGGAAAATTCTGATGGGGAATTCTACCTATCCCCCTCACTAATGCAAAACTGGAAAGTGAAAACACAACAACACAAAGGGGAATTCTTTGTTGGGAGGTGTTAGCTGGCCCTGATTGTTTCATGTCAGGAATTCCCCTGTTGTTTGAGAGTTCCTCTTTATTTACTGTCCCGAGTTTTTAAAGTATTTTAAGGCCATTCAATGCTAATCAAGGTGATTAATTGCAACATTCACACTTTCCTCCAACAGAGATGGGTTCTTTCTCCCACTCTGGACCTTCCACAGATATATAAACCCCACTTGCCTTGTTTCCAACAGACCCCTCCACCTCTGAGGACGCCTGCTATAGGTGGGAACAGCAAACTCTGGTGGCCAGATAACTTTCTATCGCAAGTGTTTGATGGGACACGTATAGTTTGATAGCACCCTCATCCTCACAACCTCTGAGGATGCTGCCATAGATGTGAGCGAAACGTCAGGAGAGAGTGCTTCTGGAACATGGCCATACAGCCCGGAAAACTCACAGCCACACAACAATAGTCCTCTCACAGCCAAGTTTGATAGCACCCTCATCCTCATAACCTCTGAGGATGCCTGCCATAGATGTGGGCGAAACGTCAGGAGAGAGTGCTTCTGGAACATGGCCATATAGCGCGGAAAACGCACAGCCACACAACAATAGTCCTCTCACAGCCTAGTTTGATAACACCCTCTTTTTCCCCCTTTACAAGCCCACGGAGGGGGCATCCTCACTGTGGAGGTACGAGCCAGGGCAGTTCAAGTGGTGTCAAACCCGCATCGATACTACAGAGAAGACGCACTTTCCCCCTCTCCACCATTTGGACCTCTCTACCTGCCTTCCCAAAAGCAATTCCTAGAACAACACAATGAATACAGTCTCTGGCAGGGCTTGAACTGCCCGGGCACAATGCCGTGGGATCACAGAAGTGTCCCTTTGAGAAAAGGGGCTTGCCGCACTCCCAGGATTGGGGAGCATGGAGCCAAGGAAGTGGAAAGTTTAGTCCAGGCAAGGAGCCGAACTTGGCGGGAAGCGCGCGAGGGAGAGAGAAGGAGAAGGAGACGCGTCCCTATACGTACCTGCTCAGTCTGAAAGGAGAGTTGCCCGCGCTCTCTTCTTCTTCTTCTCTCTCTTTCTCTTTCTTCCTCTCTCGCTTCCCTTTTGGCCAGAGAAGCGCTGCAGGGGAGCCTCGCTTGCCTTTACTCTCTTCCGTTCTTCGTGGCCTCTGTCAAGCGCCGCTGGTTCTCCTCGGGCTGCTCCATGACCCGGCTTTATATAGGCTCCTGGGGGAGTCCATGAGGGGATGCGAGAGAACGAGAGGGAGAGAGCGCGAGGATCGGCTTGCAACGAGTGGGTGGACGCGAGTCGCGCGCGCTCTCTCCCAGGCTCCCTTGGCCGCACGAGCTCGTCACACCGCTTTCCCCTCTTCTTCACACCTCCTCTTCCCCTTTTCCTCCTCTGCTTCTCCTCCGTCTTTTTTCTTTGCCCTCCCCTCAATACCCGCCCGCCTCCTCTTATATGCGCCCTCCTCGCAAAAAAGACGTCAAGAAGAGGGGCCCCAGTGGCTTGGATGAGAAACCCGCCGGAAAGAGGCATTTCCCATTCCTTTGCAGGACGAGGAGGAGGAGGAGGAGGCAGTTTCCCTCACACCTCTTTCTTGATGAGGGGGTGGCTATGCAAGGCCCTCGGGAATCAGTTCCTTTGAGTGTAGCCTGAACGCTTCAATGTAGGACCGGGAACTCGGTTTTGTTTTTGTTTTTTTCCCCCGTTGAGAAACTGCAAGTCGCTTCTGGTGTGAGAGAATTGGCCGTCTGCAAGGACGTTCCCAAGGGGACCCCTAGATTTTTTGATGTTTTATCATCCTTATGGGAGGCTTCTCTCATGTCCCCACAGAGAGAACTCGGGTGTCCAACACAGAGGGCAGAAAAATCCCACAATCTCTGCTTTGAACTGGGTTATCTTAAGTCCACACTCTAGGTTATTTGAACTGGGTTATCTGAGTCCAAACTCTAAAATTAGAACAGCACAACAGAGAGGAAACAAACAAGGACATCTAATCACCTCTCAACAAAAGATTGCTCTAGGCACTGCCAGGAAATCAAATGCTAATCAAGGTGGTCAGTTGAAACATTCACACCTAGCTCCAGCAGACAAAAGTCCTTTGTCCCACCCTGATCAATCCACAGATATATATACCCTTTTTCCTAGTTCCAACAGACCTCACTACCTCTGAGGATGCTTGCCATAGGTGCAGGCGAAACGTCAGGAGAAATGCCTCTAGAACATGGCCATATAGCCCGAAAAACCCTACAACAACCCAGTGATTCTGGCCATGAAAGCCTTTGACAACACACTCAGATAATGTGAGATTTCCTGCCTTGATATTCTAGAATTCCCTCTGTTGTTTTGCTGTTTTAATTTTAGAGTGAAAACAATCAGGGACATTAATCACCTCACAACAAAAGATTCCCCCAGGCACTGCCAGGCCATCAAATGCTAATCAAGGTGGTCAGTTGGAACATTCACACCTAGCTCCAATAGACAAGAGTCCATTGTCCCACCCTGGTCATTCCACAGATATATAAACCCTTTTTCCTAGTTCCAACAGACTACCTCTGAGGATGCTTGCCATAGATGCAGGCGAAACGTCAGGAGAGAATGCCTCTAGAACATGGCCATATAGCCTGAAAAAACCTACAACAACCCAGTCTGCAGTGCCTTTCCTGTTCCTTGATTTGTGTTTGGGCAATGCTACGTTTGGTGGTCCCTATGTAGACTTGTCCACAGCTGCATGGTATACGGTAGACTCCTGCAGAAGTGAGAGGATCCCTCTTGTCCTTTGCTGAACGAAGCATTTGTTGGATTTTCTTGGTGGGTCTGTAAGTGGTTTGTATGTTGTGTTTCCTCATCAGCTTCCCTATGCGGTTCCCTTGATGTATGGCAAGAACACTTTTCCTCTGGGTGGATCTTCGTCTTTATTCTCGTGGCTTGTTATCATTCTTGCAGCTCTCCTGATGTCTGAGGTGGAGTATCCATTGGCCTGTAAAGCCTAGTTGAGGTGGTTCAGTTCATCTTGGAGGAGGTGGGGTTCACAGATTTTTTTTTTGCACCGTCTGCCAGGGCTTTAATGGTACTTCTTTTTTTGACTTGGGTGATGATTGGAGTTTTTTATGTTGGTATCTATCAGTGTGTGTAGGTTTTCTGTAAACTGTGTGACCCAATTGTTGATCTGGTTTGCGGATGACTAGGACATCTAGAAATTGCAGTTTCCCTTCATTTTCTTTTTCCATGGTGAATTGGATGTTTGGGTGGATGCTGTTAAGTGGTCCAGGAACTTGTTTAGTTCTTCTTCTCCATGGCTCCAAATGGTGAAGGTGTCATCCACACAGGCATGTAGCGGGGGGGGGGGGGGGGGTTGGGGGGGCTTAGCCCCCCCCCCCGAAATTCTCATGGTGGTTCGCAAAAAGGCCTTACTGTTGCATTATTTAAACTGTTATGTTTATTCATATCATGATCTGATCACCATACTCAATATATCCCATATGCATGGGGGTATTGGGGTAACGATACAAAATGTTTGCTAGGGTAGACCCTCTTTCACTCAGACTCAGCCCCCCCCCAAACCCCCCCCCCCCCCCCGAATCAAAATCCTGGCTATGAGCCTGCATCCACATATCTGAACCATAGAGTGGTTTTTGTTGCTGTTTCCAGGGCTTGTTTTTGAAAGTGTTCCATGCCAACCAAGACCAGGTGCTGTAAACTATATTTCAGAGGAAGGACCTGGCAAAACCACCCCTGAGTATTCCTTGCCTAAGAAAAAGCTATGAAATCAAAGAAATCAGCGTAAATTGACAGATCACACACACAAATACTAGAGTAGCAGTGTCACCCAGTGTAGGAACTTGTGTGTCATCTCCACGGGCCCCCTCTTATAGTAGACCATATCACAATCGTGTAGCCAAAATACCAAAAAAATATAAGATAAAATCAATGATTATTTTAAAAACCTAGTTGCTACAAAACCTGTAGCAGGAACAGGAATTACACCTAAACTTTAATAAGAACTTCTTGGCAGTAAGTGCTGTTCAACAGTGGAATATGTGGCCTCAAAGTGTGTCAGTCTCCTTTTCTGGGGCATTTTAAGCAGAGTTTTGGATGGCCATCTATTGGTAGTGCTTTGATTGTGTGTTCCATAATGGAAGTGGGTTGAACTAGATGGACCTTGGAGTATCATCTAACTCTGGGAGTCTTTGATGCCAGAAAAAATCATCTAATTCATATCAGTATGACTGACAACAACAACTGGAGTCATACACATTAGAAGGTTGAGAAAGTAAATTAGCATCCAGGTTTAGCCTTGTAGGTAAATTGATACAGGACATGTAAGCTGGGCTTATGAAACAGGTCCTTGTGGTTATATAGTCAGCCTTTCACATCCATGAATTCAACCAAAAATAAATAAATATTCCAATAGGCATATCTTGATTTTGTCATTTTATATAAGGGGCACCATTTTACTATGCCATTGTATAAAATAGGATTTGAGCATCCACAGATTTTTGTATCCATGATAGTCCTGGAACCACACCCCAGTGGATACCAAGGACCAATTGTATCTAACTATTACAAGAATGATTTTATTAAAAATGATAACTTTTTGGTGTAAACCTCCCTGATAGTGTCACCTGCTGTGCACATGCCGAAGACACTACTGTTGGGTGACTCTGATATCCTCAGAATGGATTTTTAGTGGATTTTTCTCTCTAGTGTGATGAAGATGTAACAAAATTTGAAAAAAAAAATGTTCCTGGTGTGAACATATTAGTTCCTGGTTTATTGTGTGGTACTTACTTTGAAGTAGCTGTTATACTCCTGAGACATTTTTGTGGCTGCCACCAACTATGTTGAATTGGTTGAGACTCCATGATATATTCATTGAAAAACTATAGCAAATTGTACTGCAAGATGTTTCGCAAACATAAAATAAAATAGGTTTTCTAGTTTAATAAACCTTTTTCATGTTTTTATGACAGGACCAATTAGGAAATGACATTTATAATCCAGGAACAAAAATCGTGTTACATAGTTTCTCCCACCCCATCTGTTCACTCAGGCCAAGGCAAATAGCATCCAAATATTATACCCTATGTTTCCTACAATAAGTGCAAGAACTTTTCCCAATTTTATCTTCACAAAAAACATGCAAGGGGGGTAAAGTGGCTTGTTTCATTGGATGCATCTTCACTTTGCACTTTTAATGCACTTCGATATCACTTTAACAGTGTGAGTCAAGACTATGGGAGTTTTAGCTTGGTGAGACACCAGCACTTGTTGGCAAAGAAGGCTAAAGACCTTGAAAACTACAGCTCTGATGATTCCATAGTCTTGAGCCATGACATTAATTCTATAGTGTAGATGTACCCACATTTATCACCTTAGTGCTTCTATCTGCTTCTCTGACTCAATTAAAACTGGAAACAGCTGCAACACAATGGACTTCTTTCTTCTCACCCCTGCTTTTCTGTATTCTTTTGTCAGTTTCAGATTACTTATCTATAGCAATCTAAAGGAAAAACTGTTACTTGCTTAATGTCTAGGTTTTTGGAAGGCTGGGATCCAATTATTAGTCCTAGGTATAGCAAACCAAGTGAATAAAAAGAAATATTCATCTGTTGACTTGTCAAGTGTCAATTTATGTAATAAGTCTGTTTCTAGATTGGACTAGCAATTGGATTTAGTTCTCTTTCCCCCCTAAGGGGCTCAGGGTGAGATAAATGCTTCTTCCACCTTCCTGTGAGGTATATATATCATGCTGAGAGAGAATTATTGCTCCACGGTTACCTACTCAAGGAGCAGCAGAAATGAGTGAGAATCAACACCTTATCCTTCTCTATCTCAGAACTATTTCATAACGCACAGGTACTTTGTATTGGGTAACTACAGACACTAATACACTTTAAGAAAACTTCACATAATTTCATACATTAACAGAAAATTTGCTTCCAGGTGGATTGCTCCTACCATTACCAATCAAATGAAATCTTTTCTTCCCAACCTTTGGTACTCCAGTCATTTTGGACTTCAACTCCCAGAAATCCCTTACCAGCTGTTAGGAATTGTGGGAGCTGAAGTTCAAATCACTTGGAGGACCAAAGTAGGGAACCACTGTTTTAGATCATTTTTTCATGGAAAATTGAAAAGACAAAAAAAAAAAACCAAAAAAAAAAAACCAATGGGGAACATGGAAGAAGAAGTGGGGAAACCTAGGCTGAATCTACACTACAGAATTTATGCAGTCTGACACCACTTTAATTGCCATGGCTCAATGCTATGGAATCCTGGGATTTGTAGCTTTATAAAGTCTTTATATTTCTCTGCCAAAAGTGCTGGTGATTCACCAAACTACAACTCCCATTATCCACAGCAGGGAGCCACCACATTTAAAGGGGCATAAAATGGCATTCATTCTGCAGCACAGATGCACCCTTAGTGTTTGGATTATATTTTCCAGAATCCCCCAGGATGGAATTCTGGTAATGATAGTCTTCATAAGTAAATTTCCTAAGTTCTGCATTAGAAGACTGATAAATTGAAGATGATATTGTCTGGATCCCCAATAAATTAGATTAAATCTGTGTTAAAGCCTTACCTGGATGCATCCACTCTCATTTGTTTTCCAGAAAATAAAAAAACTGCAGTATAGATAGCCAGTGTGGTGTAGTGGTTTGAGTATTGGACTGTTATTGTGGAGACCAGGGTTCAAATCTGTTTCACCACAGAAACCCACTGGGTGATCTTAGGCAAGTCATATTCCCTCAGCTTCAAAGGAAAGCAAGGGCTCTGAACTACAGCAAGAATAATTTAAACAAGTCAATTACTTCACTACCTGTCATTCATTACTCCCACTGTAAAATGTGAACAGATTTGTTTCATATAGTTGATATGGAATGACCTTGCTAAGAATATTTTGACATGTGTGCTGTAGACCTATGAATGTTGGTGATTTCAAGCATAACATTGATTAATAATAAAGAAGAATATGCAGTCACATTGTGTTGTGATTTTTTTAAAAAAAATGAAGCAACATTTCCCCCCTAAAAGGTAATCTGATTTCCTTTAAGGCGCCTCCTATGGAATATAATATGTGCCTAAATGCTACTGAAACAGGATCCAGCAGAACAACTCTATTTGCTCTAATGGTGTGTATATAAACCTCTCCCTTTTCTACTAATAAAGTAAACAGAAAGTTGGATCAGGCATTGTGACCCTTTCTCAACCTGCATGAAATGGATAGGGAGTGGGGAAGAGTAGAAGAGATAATCAAGATGCACTCTGGTTGACTTGGGTAAATAAATCAAGTGCTTCCAAGTACAAAGAACACTCAGGTGCAAAGAAGAAGAAATTCAGAAGTCGAGAATCGTGTGGGTTTAACACCCTGACCAGGCAGTGATGCTAGTGACACATAGCGGTGATGACTAGAATCACATGTTGCTGTGATGATGAACAAAAGGATGGGAATAAGCAGAAGACAGGGAGGGAAGGAAGGAAGTACCCAATGGCTTTCTGCAGGGCTTCTGTCACCAGGCTTACATTCTGAAACCTGGGCTGGATCTACACTGCCAAATAATGCAATTAAAACTGCATTATATGGTCAGTGCAGACCTACATCATGCAATTTGAACTGCATTGAACAGCATTATATGTGTCTAATGACAGTGACCATATAATGCAGTACAGAGTGCATTATTTGGTAGTGTAGATCTAGCCTTGGTTTACTCCTGTGCAGCACTCTAAAACGTCATTAATATTTTGGTTGTTTGTAGATTGCTTCAGGTACCAAGTCCAGTTCAGTCCTTTGAGGGTCTAAATAGTGAAAGGGTACATCCAAACTGTAGTTTGTCACGACTTCAATGACTCAATGTGGTGGAACTATGAGAGTTGTAGTTTTACAAGGTCTTTAGCCTTCTTGGTTAAAAAGTGCTAGTGCCTTCCCAAACTACAATTCCCATCTTTCCATTTGGCCATTACAGTTGAAGTGTAATGAAGCATCCTTAGAGATCTCAAAGACTTGGTACAACACTTTGTGATGACAGATACTATCATAATGTTCTTTTCAACAATTTCTCTATACCTGTGTAGGTGACAACTTTTACCCTCTAACAAACTAACAGATTCCGGAGAACGTGAGATTGGATGCTCATTCATCAAAACTCATTTTGATTGTGAAAGTAGTACTTTTGAAGACGTGGCCAGGGGGAGAAGAGTTTCCAGCCAGAGTTCCAATAAATTGTTGAATCTGCAAAGAGGAGGACTGACTGATACGTCTAGTAAGTAAATCTCTGTGCTGGGAAGAAATCCCTAAATGGAAGTTCTATTAATTAATATGAGAGACATGCAATGAGACTGCTTTTGTGGCTTTTTAAGAAAGTTTTTGTCAAAAATTTAAAAAACACCTAAAATCAGTAGGTCTATGACTATTTTTGAAAGTTTGGGGGGAATGATCCCCTGATATCTTGTGTCAGTGTATAGAAAATTCAAGGAGATAGCTCTTGTTGTTTTTTTTAAAATGTTGTTTAGAAAAACTTTGAAAATTTCCCCAAAACTTGCTCAATTACCATAACAAAAATAATGAAATTTCATTTCTCTCATTATAGTAATGAAATTTTTACTAATGATACCTTAGAAATGAAACGCCAGCACCCCCTAATTTTGTAATGACTTTTTATCGATAGCACATGCCTACACCCAGCCCTGCTTTATGTGGCATAATACCTGAGGCCTGCCCTAGATGACTGCATGATAGCAGCTTTATCTGGAAGCAGTCTGTATTGCAAATGAGCGTTACCCATCTGTACAACAGATACACATTTATGTAACAGATAGCAGTACAAAACAATTTGCATTTTGATAGCAGAGATGTGTTTCTGACTCTCTCTGGTGATTATTTATCCCGGTGCCAACATAAGTGAAGATAAAAGTGCCAATACCATTCACATGTGTGCCTTATCCAGTTTTCTGACTTTCTCATCCCTGTCTGCCACAGGAAATATCTTTCCTTCCCATTCACAGCTGTTTGGGGACTCAACAGCCCAGCATCCAGTCCCATATACAGCACAGCTTCCACTGAGCTGGAGAGCTGACTGCTGTTATGAGTGTATGAAGAATGTGACTTATCATTCTCAGTCATTAAAACGTTTCATTTTCAGAGTTGCCTCAACTTGGACTACATGTGCGGCAAATTGGAACTTTACATCTGTTGGGGAAATGCCTTAGCTACGTGAGTACTTGTCTCATTGATGCTCGAGTGATGCATTTGCAACTTATCTTTGCAGAGGAAATATCTGCACATATCTATGCAAATAAGGACAGTTTGGACAGAGGATCCAAACATGGTCTATTTAAGGAAAAGGCTTGGATTGAGAGCCAAATGTTAAGAATGTCTGCAATCATGTGCATATGTATGAAAGAGAGAGTGTGTGTGGGACTGATGGGGGAAAACCCCAAAACAATCACTCTTGGCTTGCGTAAGATAGTCCTGTATCACTCTCATACATTTGAGGTAAAACTGTTTTTGGACAGAGCTCAGAAAGTTTGGTTGTTCCAGAATGCTGCCCCTCACGTGTTTTATCTAGTTTAATGTGCTATTTTATTTAGACAGTATTTTAAAATGCCTATAGTTTAGTTGCCCTTTTGAATTTCTGGACCTAGTCCATAAGATGGCTTTAACCTTTAAAGTCTTAAACAGCCTGGCTCCTGATTCTGGCAAAACATCACTCCTTATCCTAGGATTTAAGATCTACTGAAGACCTGCCAAAGTTGTAAAATGGGTTTCTCAAGTATCACAAAACCCTGACATGGAGCGTCCCAGATAGGTAAGAATAATTGTAGTTTGGAATTTATTCTGAATGAAAACTGTATGTCCCCTGGCGATTGAGCGTGGTCTACTCCATGGATGGGAACTGTATGTCCAGTGGAGTTTTGGAAAGCCATTCCTCCTACAGCTGCTCTGCAATGTTAAGAGTAAAACACTCCATCCAGGCGTTATTTTGTCGTTCATTTGTTCAGTCGTCTCCGACTCTTCGTGACCTCATGGACCAGCCCACGCCAGAGCTCCCTGTCGGCCGTCAGCACCCCCAGCTCCTTCAAGGTCAGTCCAGTCACTTCAAGGATGCCATCCATCCATCTTGCCCTTGGTCGGCCCCTCTTCCTTTTGCCTTCCACTTTCCCCACCATAATTGTCTTCTCTAGGCTTTGCTGTCTCCTCATGATGTGGCCAAAGTACTTCAACTTTGTCTCTAGTATCCTTCCCTCCAATGAGCAGTCGGGCTTTATTTCCTGGAGGATGGACTGGTTGGATCTTCTCGCAGTCCAAGGCACTCTCAGAACTTTCCTCCAACACCACAGCTCAAAAGCATCTATCTTCCTTCGCTCAGCCTTCCCTAAGGTCCAGCTCTCACATCCGTAGGTTACTGCAGGGAATACCATGGCGTTATAGTCCTCAGCCAACTATGAAAATCCTTGGTTGAATTTGGGCTAGTCGTCCTATCTCAGCCTTATGGGAGAGTCCAATGGATGTGGAAAGTGGACAACAGCAGGAGTGTATCTGTCATCAATCATTGGAGGAAAAGTGGAATGTAAATGTAACTAATAAGATATAAATACTGATGACAATAAAAATGGGAGTGTGACATGGGTAACACAGCCTTTTAAATTTAGATCAGTAATACTGTCCTCCTTCTGATGTCTTTGGACTGCAACTCCAATCAACCCTAGTCAGTGTAGCCCATGGGGAGGATTGTGAACAGTTACAGTCCAGCAACATGTGGAAGAATAAATTTCGGCCATCCAGAATTTAGATAAAAATCCCATAATGCCAATATCAATAGGCAAGAGTGTAAGACCTAAAGCAAATGGTTAGTCTTAATAAACTAAGCTGCTGAATTAATGAGAACTTAGTAAGTAAATACGTATGTATGAGCCATTAATTATATTGGTCTAATAATACACAGGAATAAAAATAGGATTTAAACCTGTATATGTTGGCTTTTGGGGGGCCCTGGTAGTGCAGCGGTTAAACCGCTGAGCTGCTGAACTTGCTGACCAAAAGGTTGGTGGTTCGAATCCGGGGAGTAGGGTTTGATCCCGCTGTTAGGCCGACCTTCTGCCAACATAGCAATTCGAAAACATGAAAATGTGAGTAGGTAAATAGGTACCACTTCTGTGGGAAGGTAACACCATTCCATGCAGTCATGCTGGCCACATGACCTTGGAAGTGTCTACGGACAACGTGGGCTCTTCGGCTTAGAAATGGAGATGAGCACTACCCCCAGAGCCGGACACGACTGGATTTGTTAAAAATACTGACTGGTAACCCAAGGTGATTGTCACATGAGGGTCTAAAAGTGCCTTCTTGCACTGTAAAAATCAGGAATGCACTTGGATAACCCCTTTTCTTATTGAATAATCTTTCAAAAAGAGCTTTCAAAGAGCACTGGCTCATAGAAAACTTATCCCCACCTGTGCGTTGCTCCTTGTTGGCCAAGCTCTCCCTCTTTTTTACCAAAAGAACTTCCCAATTCTGAGATATGAGTCCAGTCCACAAGATTCTGCCATTTTGTGGCTTTGTCACTGAGTAATGTAATAACACACTTCTGAGTATTGCTGTACCTCCAAGATTAAATATGGATAACATAAAAGTATAGTTCCTGGCAGTTTTCCTCATTCATGTAGTCTTCGGAAAGGGGAAGTGAAGCTGTGGAAAGTGATGCTCTCACAAAGTGTCCACAATAATACATATTCTCCCAAACTCATGGCAAGCAGTCCTTCTGAATTATTGCACTACTGCCAACCCCGGAAGAAGGTATTTTCTGCAGGCTATCAACAATATTCCCCTTTTGCTTAGAAAGGAACAGGTAAGCAATGACTTGAAATGTGGTTTGTAATGAGATTGAGATGATGCTGTGTGACAAGAAGTGTTTCTACTTGTGGTTAAATGCTGCTAATGTGCTTCACAACCCTCATGCAAAAATCTCCATAGTGACATGGATCTAGTTGTTCAAAGGGGGCTTAGTGTTCTGTTTTTGAAAAAGCATCCTTCATACAACCTGAAAAACTATGTGGCCTAGATCACTGCTTTTTCAAATCTGCATATTTTTCTTAGATATTTCTATAGTTCATTACCATATTTGTTAAAACACAAACTAAACAGGAGCCTGAAAATATTTGGTATATATAAACTTTGTGATTATCAAAACTCATACAATTTAATAGTTTGAAAACTGCATACACACATAAATCTATTACATATACATATTTCTTAATAATATTTATTATATTTTTGTAACAAAATGTGCATGTAACAATAACAATGTGTGTGTAGCATTTTGTTCATGTCTTGGCAGTTCTCAAACATCTGAAGTATATAATATGTATCCTTTATGTTATGCAAGTTTGGCTATCCCGATATAGTCTAATTTTAGCCGTATCATAAATTCAGGCTCTAGCATCCCAGGTCTAGGGAATTAATTTATCTACCTTGGGTTACACTGGACCCTCTTCCAATAGCCCATAATCCCACGTTTCCGCTCATCTTTTCTTGATTGGACTTAATTGTAAGCCTTTCTCTGCATTTTTCCTCAATCAGCAGTCATAAACTCAATATGTCTGCAGTTAATCATAACCAACTTCATAACTTGGAGCTTGATTCATCTATATGGTTTTAGTTTATCTTTTCTCCTCCTTTCCAGTGCTGAATTTTATAGATCAGATATGTACATTTGGGAATCTTTCCCCTAACAGAATAACTTTTAGTATCAATGTTAACAAGACCAGCCTTACTGTTAGACAGAATGCGGCAATCCTGTAAGGTTGCAGATGTTGGGAGAAGGAAGATCATGGTGGCAGCTACCCCACTGATTTACCAGGCTCCACAGTTGTTCATTTTTGCTATAAAGCATGGTCACCAAAATAGCCCAACGTCCCCAGTGTGTTGGGAAAATTTTCAATTGTAAATGCTGCATTGTCAAGCTAGCATATAGAATTAGAATGGAGGCTATCTTGTCTTCATCTCATACAGCATCAGAGGCGGCCCTAGGTAAATTTCAGTGGTAAACAAACAGTATTTTGCGCCCCCCCCCCCAACCAATCACTGATATGTATTTTCTGTTCGTTGTGGGAGTCCTGTGTACCATATTTGGTTCAATTCCATCATTGGTGGAGTTCAGAATGCTCTTTGATTGTAGGTGAACTATACACCCCAGTAACTACAACTTGCATATGTCTATTTTTCCCCAAGAGCGCCTCAAGAGCGCCCCTGGGCAAAATAAACTATACTGCAAATCTTACTTTGTGTAATGGGTTGAGCCGCCCCTGTACGGCAACATCCCTTGTGTAAGTTCTGTCTTGTGATTTAGTAGATGTTGGATGCTCTTGAATGTCTCCTCTTTATCTGTTTTGCTTCATCTAAAGTAATGAATAAAGCGGGACATCTGGAACTTAAACCAGGATGATGAGACAGCTACCAAATAGGTACGACTTGTACTTAGTTTCATTTGACAGGTCATGCAAATGGTGTTTGTGTGCATGCACAAATGCATGCAGATTTATGTGATGCTGTCACATTGAATTTTGGGTAGGGTAGTGTGGAAGAAATATAATTCTGTGTTTTTTTACATGATATGAACTTAGCACTTACTTGAAATATACTTCATACCTTGCTTATTGCTCAATCAGTAATGTGGGAAAAAAACTATTCAAGGAGTGGAAACAGGAACCATAGTAGGAACACTTAAACTTGGGTAGGTGGTAGATCTGCCAGTAAAACTATCCAGGACTGGTCCTACATTGGACAGATTGAAGCAGCAGCTGGGAGAAGAGTGGCAATGCTCCGGTTTTCAAGTTTTCTTTCTGAACTTTCTGGGCATTCAAACATCCCCCAGGAATGTTTGTTTCACATACAGACCATCCCTAAGATGTGAACAAGCTAGGTTCGGTAGGTTTGTTCTTAAGTTGAATCTGTTTGTAAATCAGAACAGGTACATTTTGAAGTATAACTCCAGATACTTTGGATAGCATAGGGAAGAGTTAACACCCCAGTGGTGTTTATTTTGCTGTCTGTGCCCCCGTTCAGAAGATTTCACCTATCTTTCTGTCCCCGTAATAATTGGAAAAATTTTGAAAAATTTGGCTTGTTGTGGAAACAAGGATTGGTGAAAAAACTTCAGTTGAGCCCCCCCCCCCCCCCATGTTAACTCTTACATGAGTGAATTTTCCTTTCAAGGGGTAGATTTCTCTCACTTCCTGTTGTCTCATTTCCATTCTTAACTATGAGTTGTTTGTAAGTTGGATGTTTCTAACTTGGGGACTGCCTGTCCACTGTTTAAAGCAGTCTGCTGCTCTATGTAATTACCACATAGGGGCCAAGCAATCTGATGAAGAGGAACCTGATAAAGAAAGGCCTCGGGTTTCAGATGATGACTCCCACCCCACCGCTATGAATCTGTGCAGCCAGTGACCAATGACACTAATGAAGAATCTAATAGTGTCCCACTTGAGCTGGAGGGACACTATCATTTTTAGAGCATCATAGTCAGGAAAGGAGCCAATGCCTCTTGGAACATGGAGCAAGAAAGGCTATTCAGCAATAAAGCACCTAGTAGTTCAAGGGCATGCAGCTATAAATCTGAAAACTGCTAGGTACTTTTGTTGAGATATGTTCTAAGAACTCCCATGGATAAGTGAACCACAGCAAACCCTATAGTTTGACTATCATTGGCCCAGAAGAAAACCATACAATCACATTAGAGGACCTAGAGGGACTGCAATTGCTTCCAGGGGAAATAATTTTTGGAGTGTGGTTAAATGAAGCCATAGATAAGC